TGGGAATACGTTTGGATTTGGTTATTACCCCAAATAAAGTAGAAATCCCGATTCCTCAACCCAAACTACTTAAATGTCATCATTCAAAAAAAGGGTTGTAACCCTAATTGCTAAGTTCTTGTCTCTTAACATCTTCGACAGACCATACACCCAATTGATCACGTTCAAACGGCTGAGCCATCGTTCTCAAGAATTTTTTTGCTGTTACCAATGCCATATCCGTCGATAAATTTGTACAAGCATCCGTGATAAATTGGTTCAACCACCTAGGTAATTTATTACGTTTGTCTGCCCTTGCGAATCTCTTATTAAAAAAATTATTGTTACAATTTATTTTAGTTAAACAAAGAGAATAAAGTTTATAAAATTACCTTATCGGCAAATATCATTAGACCATAATCAGTTTTTCCTCTTAAAACTCTCCCAACGCATTGAGCTCCATGACGCATTGCGTCAAAAGTTAAAAAATCACTTTCGCGTATTCTGTAATTTTCCCTCAAAAACTCAAGGCGTGCCTAAATCGTAATTATTAATTAAATGATAGTGCCTAAACCAATGAAAACCTATTACTTACTTTCAGAATCCGACTCTCTGTATATTGATATGGTACACCAAACATAATTACAGCACGTCCATAATTATGATCAAAATCAATACCTTCCGAAACCTTCCCACGAGCAACTGACAGTAAGATGGCACCGCGTCCGTTGTCACATGCCTAATAATGAAAAAAGGAATAATTACGAACAAGATAGGTTAATATTTTATTTTAATGCTATCAATAATGAATATTATCTCTATTCCTTTTGTAAACCTTTCTGTAATTCTCTAAAGCCAAACTAGTTTCTGCAGCATCTGGTGTTTCAACAAATATTAACTTATGCTTCCATGCTTGATTTAATATACCCTGCATAGCAAAAAGATGTTACCTAGATGCATAAAAATTTTCAATTACATGATAAAAAAAAAATTACCATATCGTTCCACATAGCCACTATTGATTCCATGTATAAATAGCTCGGGAAGAATGCAACAATTCCGTCGGGAACAATTTTGGAGAATTCAACGAGAATTTGCCCGAAATTTCGTACTACAGCCGGATCATTACGAACTTCAAATTTAGAACTAATAGCGACTTGATCACTACCTCTAGTTATTACCTATAGAAGTCAAAAAATAACAAAGAAAACATTCATAAGAATTTTAATTGAAGACACATATATATAACATACATGTCACAAACCAATGGCAGGAAACAATTCCTCGTTAAAGTCATTGAATAACTTTCTTGCACAGCTGCCTGAA